AACCTCTTCCTTGTGATGAGAACTCAGCATTAACTACCTTACTGCTCCTATGTATCCTACAGCAACATGAGCTAAGTCACCATATTGTGCATTATATCACGAGCAGTTCTTTATAACTGTAGGTTTGTACCTTTTGACCACTTTCCTCCAGTCCCCCCTCCTGCAACCCTCTGCTTCTGGGAACCACAAGTCTGAGCTCTTTTTCTATGAGTTTGGGGTTTTTTTTTTAATCCTATATATAAAGGAGATCATACAGTATTTGTCTTTCTCTAACTTATTTCACTTAGCAGAGTGCCTTCAGTGTCAATCCACAGTGACACAAATGGTAGGATTTCCTTGTTTTTTATGGCCGAATAATATTTCATCACATATAAATACCACAACTTCTTTATCTGTTCGTCCCACAATGAATACTTAGGTTGTTTTCATGTCTCGGATATTATAAATAATGCTGCAATAAACATGGAGTGCAGATACCTTTTTGAGTATTTTCATTTCCTTTAACATATTAGCAGAAGTGGAATTGCTGGATCATATAGTAGCTGTATTTTTAATTTTTTGAAGAAGCTTCATGCTGGCCATAGTGGCCATTCCCTTTCCTCCACATCCTCGCTAACATATGTTCTCTTGTCTTTTTGATCATGGCAATTCTAAAGTATGAGCTGATACCTCACTGTGGTTTTAATTTGCATTTCTCTGATGACAAAGGATGTTGAGCACCTTTTCATGTACCTGTTGGCCTTCCACATACCCTCTCTGCCCATTTTTAAATTGGGTTATTTGGAGGATTTTTGCTATTGAGCAATAAATTAGTTTGAGAAATAGAGAGGAATATCAGAAAGAATAGATTTCTGTGTGAAGCACATAACACTTGTAACAATGCAGATGTGGGAATGAAAAAGCCCAATGCAGGGAACAGAGGATTTACCTGGAACAGACTCTGAAACCTGATAATGAATGAAAAAATAAAGTTGATATACATGCTCAAAGCAGAGGACTGTTAGTAGAGAACATTTTTTTTTTTAAGAGTATAGTTCAGACAACATAAAGCTATTGAAAATCATCAAAACTAATGACAAAATGAGTGTTTCTCAAACCTCTATTTCTTTTTCATAGGCTTGGGTTCTTGGATTAGAAGGAACCCTCTAAGTTTCTGCATCAGTGTTTAAACCTTCTCCACACTATATATGCAAGGAGACCACGTGGCCTTAGTGTGGACATCTGCAAGGTTGGGAAACACTACTTCCACTACTGCAGACCATTCTCATTGGAGCCACTCTAACAGAAGGTTCCACCACATGAGAGATCAATGATTGTTTCCCAGCAGCTTTGATCCCTATGTTCCTCTGGAATGACCAAGAACAAATCTAACCCCTCTCCTGCATTTAAGTGCAGTGATGGTATCTCTACTAAGTCTTCTTCAGATTTCACATCCTCAGTTCCATCAACCCTTCTTCATTCGGCAGAGATGTAAAACTCCTTCGGAATCACACTCCCAATTTTCAAGTCTCTTGAAAGAGGGTAGAGTTTTTGAGCAAGCTACCTAACTTTCAGGGAGTAAGTAAAAAAAACAACTAAACAGTTTAAACTGCTGATAAATTTCTGCTCCATTCAACAAACTGTTTGTCAATAGCATTGGTGCTTTGTAAACTTGGGGAAAACTAAAAGAAACAAATAGGAATGGCTTTAGGAAATCTGTGTTTGAAAAAAAGAAAGAAGGAAGGAAGGATGGTAAGTAACTAAGTCTGTGTCTGTTTTCTGCACATGATTCTCCAGTGGCACTCTGCCCAGAAACCATGAGTTTTTCCCTATCCAAAAGCATGAAATCAGAGAAAAAGCCTAGCTTACTGAACAGTGACTGAAACCACAAAGATGAAAAACACTTATTGCAGACTGAACACATAACAAACTTATCACAATAACAGCTAAATTTGCAAAGCTGTTAGCAGATGCTGGCCATTGTTCTATGTGCTCAGTAGGTATTATCTTATTTAATACTATTCTCACTGTCACTTTACAGATGAGGAAACTCAGGCTCAAAGATTTTAAGTGACTTGCCTGAAAAGCCAGCAAAGGAAATTGAAAAGCAGCCCAGTAAGGTAAGGGGAAAACAAAAGGAAATGGTATCCAGAAGACAAATGAAGAAAGGGACTGACAGAGGTAATAGTTAGCTCTATCAAAGGCTGCTGAAAAGTAAAATAGGTTGGGGATAGAGGATCAGAGACCTAGAAGATATTGGTTTTGAATGCCTTTAATAAGAGCTATTTTATTGCAGTAGGAATGACAGCCTAACCCGAGCAGGCAAGAGAGAATGTAAGGCAAGGAAGTGGGATAAAGAGTATCGATGATTCTTCCAGAGAGACATAATGTAAAAGGGGCGGGGGAGGGACTAGAAGAACATGAGAACAGGATTTATTTATTTATTTATTTTAAAGATTTTATTTATTTATTCACGAGAGACACAGAGAAAGGCAGAGACACAGGCAGAGGGAGGAGAAGCAGGCTCCACGCAGGGAGCCCAATGCGGCACTCGATCCCAGGACTCCAGGATCACGCCCTGAGCGAAAGGCAGACGCTCAACCACTGACCCACCCAGGCGTCCCAGGATTTTTTATTTAATATGAGCTATTATAACTTTTTTTTAAAGGTTTTATTTATTTATTCATGAGAGACACAGAGAGAAAGGCAGAGACATAGACAGAGGGAGAAGCAGGCTCCCTGCAGGGACCCTGATGTGGGACTCGATCCCAGGACCCCAGGATCATGACCTGAGCTGAAGGCAGATGCTCAACCACTGAGACACCCAGGTGCCCCTTATTATAACATACTTATACACTAATGGAAATGATCCAGTAGAAGGAAAAAAAGCACTTAGAATAGTATCTGGTATATAGTTTGAACTACATAAATGTTAGCTATTGTTATTATTACTGAAAATGTTTTTCATTTCAAAATTATATCATATTTTTGTATCCACTGATTCCTCTTACAAAACCCACTTTGGGGACCACTGGACTAAACTGCTTGACTTGCAAAGTCCTCCACTATTTGATCCCATCTAACACATTCAACTGTCTTTCTTACTATTATTCCATATCTACCGGTCATCATTTCACTGCCTCCTACGTACTTTGTGATTCCATTCTCATCACCTTGTCCTTGCCCATGTCAGGAAAATGCCTAGCTTCTCCGAATTTCCAAATCATAACAACTCTTAAAAAAAAAAAAAAAAATCAGTGGAAGCACTGCAGTTCTCCGCTGGTCTTCCAATCTTCCCTCACTACTTCAAATGATACTAATCTTTCCCTTTTCTGATTTCCTATGGTATTTAGTAGTCTGTCCACATTTCGTCATATATAACTGTTTTATGCAGTTCTGTTTTATAGTGTTTTGATTATGTTACCACTAGACTTGCTCTCCAGAGTTTATGCAAAAGCTTACTTTACCCAGAGGCAATAAAGCATAGCAGTTAAGAGCACAAACTACAGGTTCAGTTTTTTAAAAAAAAGTAAATTAAAGCAAAAATATTTATGAAAATACTTAGGACTATAGTTAGCAGATAGCCAATAGCAAATGGCAGTTATTTTCATTCATGATCTACATCATGTCACAGCAATGTAATACCTTCACAAGAACCAACAAATGTCTTTGCAAAGAAGTCATGGCTACATAACCATCCACTATAAATGATGTGAACCAATCACCTTTCCAGAGGTAGGCAGGAGCTCTACCCAAGATGGAAAATAGGAAAGCATCCCCCAAACACTCCCGACTTGCTCCTCTGCCTAAACATCAGAATGACTTGTGGAATTCTTTAAAACCTAAAGTGCAAGGAGTCAATCTCAAAGATTCTGATCCAAAGCTCTGCGATGAGTCTCCACTTCCATCTTTTCCAAAGCACTAAAAATGATTCCGACATGCAGCTCATGCTGAGAGCAAGTGGGATTTGATAATGACTTGAATGCACCATGGAAAAACACAACTTCTAGAGGCTAATTGGGGCCAACCAGTGAAAGGGCGGAGCGGGAAGAATGATAATGAAGTGTAACTGCATTCCCCATTTCCTGGCTTCCCTTGCCTCGCCTTCCGAGTGTAGGAGCAAATGTATATTCTCAAAGTGAGGGCCATGACAGCAGATCCCGTCAGAAGGGAAGGAAAAATGAACAACGCCAAGATGTCCCGAAGCTATTGCTGTTATTACTGAAAATGTTTTTCATTTCAAAAGTGGTCCCCAGGGTGGGCTAAACCCTAAAGTGTCCCCTACTCCTCCCTCGCTCCCCCAACCCCCGGGGCCTCCAGCTAACACACTGGACATATGCAAGAATGCTTTTGACTTAAAAACTGCTTTTACGAATGCTACTTTACTTAACCCGCTTCAGAAGCTCCCTGACGCTGTGGTATTATTATCGTTCCCACTGTAACGCGAAGCACCTGGAATTGAGGTCTGCACAAGGGCAGGGCATGCAGGGAACCCGTTAAAGACTTTCACTATCCTTTTTTTCCCATCCTTTTCGGGTTCGTCCCCGCCACCTCCCGAACGCCCCGCGGCCGGCCACGCGCACGTTCCTCGTCACCTCAAGCCCTTACAGCCCTATCCTTTAGTGGATGTCCCCCTACTTCCTCCATTTCCCTTCCCGTTGCTCACGTTCGCTCAGCACAGACCCCTGAGCCGGGGAGGGGAAAAGGAAAGCTGAAAACTACAGGCAGCCCCAGACCTAGAAAGGCCAAGGTGCCTGGGGAGTTGGAGTGACCGCTGCGGCACGGCGCAACTCCCAGCACTTCTGATCCCCGTCTCGGAAAGACAACCGGAGGCCCATGTTCCCGGTGACACTTACGTGACATTGGCAGGGCCCGGAGAAGCCGGGGGCGAGCGGCGGCCGCCATCTTCTCCCACAACCCCCCGCGGCCGGCGCCCCAACCCAGTACGGCGACCGAGCCGGGCCAAAAGCGGTCTTCCGCGCGTGTCTGCGCAGGCGCTAAGCGGGAAGCGAAGGGCGGGTCAGAGATTGGGGCGGCTGTGAAGAGGAGAGCTGGGGAAAGAGAGCGAGGCCCAGGGCCAGCGGGAAGCGAGGTGGGACGCCGAGAAGGGGAGGAGGGCAAGAGGTAGAACTGGGGCTGTGCGCGCCTGACCGGCCAAGCACGCTCTGTCCTCGGAGCCCAGCCCTTGCTGTGCCCTTTACCTGATAGGCTCCGAGTGCCTGCTCCAAGGGAGCTTCTCTGACGCCCGAGGTGGCCTTCACTCCGCCGCCTGTTTGTTATCTAGTAACACTAATAAGTGAAAGCCCTTATCACCACCTGACAGGGCTCCGGGGATTCTGGACCTGGAGTGTGACTCATGAGCGGGCTTAAGGAATTACGAGAACCTCCTGAAACGTTCCGTTGAGTGTGTGTGTGTGTGTGTGTGTGTGCGTGCGCGTGTGTGTGCGTGTGCGTGCGTGTGTGTGCGTGTGCGCGTGCGTGTGTGCGCGCGTGTGTGTGCGCGTGCGTGCGCGTGTGTGCGTGTGTGTGCGCGCGCGTGTGTGTGTGCGTGTGTGTGCGCGTGCGTGTGCGTGCGTGTGCGCGTGCGTGTGCGCGCGTGTGTGTGTGCGCGTGCGTGCGCGTGTGTGTGCGCGTGCGTGTGTGCGTGTGTGTGTGCGCGCGTGTGCGTGCGCGTGCGTGCGTGTGCGCGTGCGTGCGTGTGCGCGTGCGTGTGCCACTGCACACTTTTCTAGAAGGAAACTCAGCATTGAGTCTAGATCGATAGTTCACGATTTTCATCTTCTTAACTGTGGACCTCTTCGAGAATCTGCGCTGTTGCGGAATTAAGGTTTCTGGGGCCCGAGGAGGTGGCAGAAAGGCTAAACGCTTGCAATTTTAAATGCCTTCTTCTGGCCGCTCAAGTTTTCTGAGTGGAGGACAGGAACCGGCAGCAGCTTGTCCTGAGACATCTGCCTCAGGTTCATCAGAAAACAAACTAGTTTGGGGCATCTTTCTCGATTTGGCAGTTCTTTCAGTGCTTCGGGGTTTGTTTTGCTTTGTTTTGTTTTTCAGGAGGAAAGTCCTGTGAGCTGCCTGGATGGACAAAGTGCCCTAATGAGTAGAGGTCGCCTATTATTAGGCTTGTGGATTTGTGGTTCCCCACTCGATCCCACCTCCACTATTTCTTGAAGCCTCACATGCAGAATTGAATTGGAACAGGAAAGAAACCCTTGAAGACTCATTCAGTGCTCACCCAGTATTTAAAGTTCCCTGATACTTGAGTCTGGGGTCAGTGTGAGTACAAGACACCTAACTGGTTCTGATAAACTGACAGACTCCATTAGCAGCAGCGGCCTCCTGACACCTGTGCAGCATGGCAAGCCTGCTGCTTTACATCTCCAAGTCAAACTGTCTCGTGTTCTCAATACTAGTTTCAAAGTGGCATATTGCTGAAAGAGCGCTGTCTTAAAACTCAGAATCTTAGATCCCAGTCCTGGCTCTACCAGTTAATACTTGTGACCTGGGCACGTTTCTACACCTACCAAACAGAAAGTGGTACCTGTCCTGTTACCTCAGAAGATTATTGTGGGGATCAGATGACATAATGGGGTGTGAAGGTGCTTTGTCAGCTGCAAAGTACTATGTGCATGTGTGTGAAGTCCTACTTAAATAACAGTGAAATATCAAAATCCTAGACTGTTAGAGCTGGAAGGGATCTTAAGAGATGAGTAAGCCCAATTTACTTATTTTACAGATGAAGAAACTGTAAAAAGTTTAAAAGTGGGGATCCCTGGGTGGCGCGGCGGTTTGGCGCCTGCCTTTGGCCCGGGGCGCCATCCTGGAGACCCGGGATCGAATCCCACGTCAGGCTCCCGGTGCATGGAGCCTGCTTCTCCCTCTGCCTGTGTCTCTGCCTCTCTCTCTCTCTGTATGACTATCATAAATAAAAATAATAAAAAAAAAGTTTAAAAGTAAAAAAGTATAAAAGATCATCGATAGTTAAATAGCCTTGTTGAAGGAAGCCGTAACAAACCAGTCACTTTTGAATTTGTTAACAATTTTAATCTGTATCTGGTGGCCTTGACCAAGATTCTTTTTGTTTCATGGAAACTATGTATTAGTCCTGTATTTAACCGTCAAGTGTATGTCGAGTAATATTTCCAAAGAGAATGTGCCAAGAACAAAGACCTTCTCAAGGATTGAAATTGCCAACCAAATACCTCTCAGTTTATTCTAGGACATTTCCTCAAGCTGAGGCATTGCAGAGAATGGATGAGTGCTACTGTATCTGACCATTGAAGATAAATTATAACCCAGAGATGGTCAGTTTGGGCAAAATGTCTATAAATTTATTTTTGTTTTATAGAAGGTGAGATGCTTATAATTCAGAGTTAAGGCTGGGTCCACAAAATGAAATGATTCCATGGGCTTTGCATTAAAAAAATTTAGTAGATGCTCAATTTTATTTTTTTTATTTTTTTTAAACATTTTTTTATTTATTTATGATAGTCACAGAGAGAGAGAGAGAGAGAGAGAGAGAGAGGCAGAGACACAGGCAGAGGGAGAAGCAGGCTCCAAGCACCGGGAGCCCGACGTGGGATTCGATCCTGGGTCTCCAGGATCGCGCCCTGGGCCAAAGGCAGGCGCCAAACCGCTGCGCCACCCAGGGATCCCAGATGCTCAATTTTAATTCTTCCCCTCTGCACCCATCTGAATTTGTTCATACACAGTACTCGGTTGTTTTAAGTGCAATTCGTTGGCAAACCACCCCCCCCCTCCCATATTCCCTGTCTAAATTAGATACTTAAAGGAGAAAATTAATTAGAAGAAAGCAAGCCCAGTCCTTCCAAACTAAGCATCAGAGCATTGGAGTGTATTTTCACCTATCCTCTTCTCCTTTGACAACTCAGTTTCTGATAGCCTCAGTACTGTTGCTATGGAGACAGTGATATCACCAGTTGCAATTCTGATGTCACTCTTCAGTCCCAACAAGGGGGAGGTACATGGAAGGCTGGAGGAGGAAACAAGATCTTGAGCTGAGCAAGAACATCCCAGCATCTTCACTGACTTTTAAAGTCTAGTCTGGAGCCTTCTGTGGTTCACTATTCCAGTGCTACAGAGGTAGGAAATTCCAGTGGACTGATAAAACAGCCCATTTTCTGAGCCGCTGTAGTTAGGAAAATTCAGTGACAAATGATGGTTAACTTTTAATATTTAACCCAGCCTCCCTCTTTGCATAATTTTAATTTTATATCAGAATCTTCTGGAAATAAATGAGCCTCTCCCTCAGTAGCATTACAGCTAAACGTACCATCTTTGCTGCTGAAATTTTCATTTTGTTGCAGATTTGACCAGATCTCCTTGGCCATCCTTTTGGGATTATGAGGGGATCTTATTTCCCACTTCCCAACTTGATGATGAGACTGGAAGCTTAACTACCTGCTGACTTCTCTTCATTGTGTAGCTATTCCGAAAGTTGTGTCTTTTTCTCCAGTGCTCAAAAAACAAAATTAGACTGATATACCACTGAGTCCTGATTCTCATCTACTTTCATCCCCTCTACTGTTATTTCTGAAGCCTTGGCTAGACAACAGAGACCTTGGAAAAGGCAGACTATATATAGCCATGTGAAGAAAGTGTCTGTATTTATGGGGCACCAGAGGAAGACGCTAAAGGAAAGTGAAAATGGAGGAGATTGACAGAGAGGCTTAACAGTGAACGGTATCACCAGAGGAGAAGACATGCACACACTTCTAATCTTTATTTAAACAAAATCGACTGTGACTGATGTCAGCAATAATTACATTTACTGAGTGTTACAATGTGCCAAGCACTTAGAGGAAGGGAATGAGAGAGAAAAAGAGAATGGATTTAATTGAATATATTCTTTCTTTTTAAAACCAGTAATAAAATTTGGTTCAATTAACTTTGAAACCTGATCAGATATGTATCAACCCTACAAAAGCTTCATTTATGTTGCCTGTAATTTGGGCTTTTCTGTGACTTTAAGAATCTTGAGTAAGCAGAAGCCTCTTGCTTATGATGGATATAGGAGAAAACTGTTTTGAGATAGAGCTATGGTCTGAAGTACAGCAGCCATAACCAAATCCCTGTGTTATGCCCTCTCTGGCTGCCATTCGCCATTTGCACTCCTCAATTATTGCTGAGGTCTCAACCACATTCGCACTTTTAGGGAGTATTCCCTCTATGGGCCGCAGGATCCTTCTATTGGCCATAGAAAAATTTCATAGCTTTTGGGATGTTAACTTGCAGAGCTGCAATATGTAAAGGAATATATCCAATGTTTTTAACACTCCCTTCCTGGGCCTTAGTTTCCTAGTCTGTAAAATGAGGATGTTAGAATAAATGGTTTCTAGGGTCCATTTATCTATACATTGTATAGAATTAGCTTTCTTTCCTCATCAAATTTAAAAGATAATACAACGCATCCTTTTTCTTTTGTATTTTCTACCCTAACTCCAGGATATTATTCACCAACTTTGGACTTAAGATATTTATGAATCTGTTCATTGGCTCCATTAAACTCTAGATTTTCCTTCCCTCTTTTTCATTTTATTAGGGGAAATGTATACAGAGTTAGAAGTCTCAATATCATTACCATCAAAGATATTTAAGTACCTCATATAAATACAATTATCCAGGACAATTTAGGGAGTTTAAAGTCTGAAATAAGTTTCATGGATGCAGATAAAAATGCAGAAGATATAGTAAGTAGAATGAAACATTAGTACACATAATTGGAAATGTTTGCTGGATATACATGACTAAAAGATGTACTTTCTGTTTGTGAAAGAAGTACAAGAGCACTCTTGAAATATTGACTTATTTGTATTATTGGGATGGGAAGGTCTTTAATAAATCATTGGATGAATACTAATACCTTGGCTATGTCTCTAGGGTGAACTTATATCCAATAGGAATTAAGCTTCAGGAAAGACTGAATGAGTGGCTTACCACCATAGCAAACTGGAGCAAACCATTTTTTGGTTGTTCTCAGATTCTCCTACTTAAGAAAGAAAAATTTACACTATCTGGAATTAGAAATAGGCAGAATAGGCAGTATTCCTGTATTCACTCTTTCAGCAGATAATTATTAAACACCAACTTTAAGACACTACTAGTTACTATGAGGGTTAACAAGATGAGTAAGAAAAGGCATCTGACCTCAGAAAGCCATCTAATTAAAGAGATGAAATATTTGTGATCAGTTAAAGGACTAGATGGAATGTTGAAGCAAAATATGATGATAATGTTGGAGAAGTAATCACATTCAGTTAGGTACTTAGAAAATATTTCATAGATGGGGTAGGTAAGCTTTGTCCTGAGCTATCAAGCAAGGGTGGGATTTAGAGAGACATTACTAGTGGGCTGTGTGGGTATGCCAGTGTGAAAGTACAATGCCCTTGTGTCTTCTATTTAAATGTCTTAGAAGAGGAAGTATAAGGAAGATCTTTGATCTGGAAGCTAGAGCTAACATTAACTATAAATTCCCTTTACAACATGAAGATGTATATTTTTCTCAAGTCCCCAAAAGAATATTTACAAAGTGCTTTGAGATCCATGAATTCGGGACACTTATTCTTCATTCTAGCTACTTATTTTCTGACTTCTTAGTCAAGAAGTTTGAAAGTAAGCTAAATACTTTTAGTTTTCTCATTGTTAAATAAGCCTATATATCACTGATTTGGAAGTGGAGAATAACAATAGTCATTTCAGAAAGTGTTGGCTGGAAGATGGAGCCTTTTTTTTATCACCTTGGAACCATCAGACTGTACCCAGAATAAGATCTGGACTTTAAATTTGAATGTCATTTTGTGCTCATGACATGTGAAAAAATAGTATTACTTGGTAATAAAAACAATAGGGTTCACATGTAAAATTAGTCATTTTTATTTGTGTCTTTCCATTGCAGATCCCTTATATTTCATGGCAGGAGGGGTGGGTAAATTTAGGAATAGTGAAGACAACAACAAATTAATCAAGAGCTTTCCTCATATCTCAGAACCTGTCCTCAGTAAGAGTAAGTCATCACATAATTTCCTTACTTTTGTATGTAATCTTTCTTGATTTTTAATTGCAATATATAGCTTAAATAAGTTAGGAGGTCCTATTGATTTTGTTGTTTTCTATTAGAAGTAGTTCAATAAGATAAAATATCAGTGGAGATTGAAAGGTAAGCTTCTGGCTTTCACTTGTTCTGTCAACAATTCAGAGCAAACTGTTTCCAAGTTTCCTCATTCTCTGTCCAAGTAATAATAGCATCCATTCCTTTATTCATGGTAATAACTCAAACATAAGAATATTAGCATATATGAGTTGCTGAGAGCAATAAAGGACTTCATAGACATTAAGAACTCCCTTGTTATGGTTTAAAATAACCATTAAAATGAGATAGCAGGGATCCCTGGGTGGCGCAGCGGTTTGGCGCCTGCCTTTGGCCCAGGGCGTGATCTGGAGACTCCGGATCGAGTCCCACATCGGGCTCCCGGTGCATGGAGCCTGCTTCTCCCTCTGCCTGTGTCTCTGCCTCTCTCTCTCTCTCTTCTCTCTCTCTCTGTGTGTGTGACTGTCATAAAATAAATAAAAATTTAAAAAAAATTAAAAAAAAATGAGATAGCAAAGAATGTTAGAAAAATTTTAAGGAAAAGAATAGATAAAAATAAATCTGGAGCTGGCACTTGTTCTCAGAGAGAATCCCTAGGCCCAGGAATTCTCATTCTTATGTAGATGTACATTAGAATCACCCAGGATGCTTTTATGAAATTCAATGCCTAAGTCTCCCCACCCCAAAACCATTGAAGATTCTTTGGGAGGTAGTATCGCAGATTCAGTATCTTTAAACAGTTCTCCATCTAATCAGGGAGGAAAACCCTCTGCGTATCCAGGGAAACTATTGTATTACAATGTCAGGAAGAGTAAGAGAAACGGTATCCCTAATCTGAGTTAGTGATTGGGTGTGAAAACAGGTACAAATCCTTGTGGGAGCAAAGGACCAGTAGCTCTTAAAAGGTCTTCTATTTTCTTTTTAGTAATTATTTGTAATATTCTACATAACAAAAATAATAAATCCATTTATAAATAAGCTTAAATAATTTGTGTAATCTGTATTTGATTTGTGTTGGTTTTATTTTGAGGGAGGATGTCAAACCCCCCCCCCAGTCTTTTAACACAAATATTTCCAATTAACCAGATATTCAACCCTTAATAATGCTTAACTTACTTCAAGTAATTTTTTATAAAATGCATTTTCACTGTAAAAAATTAGGATAAACTTTTGGACTTTACTGTAACAGTTTAAAACAATTTATAGCAATTTTATTTTTTTACTATTTTATTTATCTATTTGAGAGAGAGAGAGAGCACGAGGTGGGGGAAAGCGCTGAGGGAAAAGGAGAAGCATACTCCCTGGTAAGTGGGGAGCCTGATTTGTAGCTTAATCCCAGGACCCTTGGATCATGACCTGAGCCACATGTAGACACTTAACTGACTGAGCCACCCAGGCGCCCCATAACAATTTTAAATAAATGTTTTATTTTGTTCAAATCATTATATAGATGTACATTACATAATTAATTACATTATATTACATTACAGAAATTAATAATTTCTACATATAAAGTACATATTATATATAAAGCATACATATATATACTTTTTAAAGATATTTACATTATAAGGGAAAATTTGGCCATCTTATTCCACCTTGTTGAGTAGTATAGATGTAAGCAAAGTTTATAATGAAAGAAGGGAACTTCAATGTAATGGTAATGGAAGTCTGACATGGAAAAAGAGGTCAAAGAGAAGCTTCTCATACTTGTAGATTATCAGTGGACAAATATTATAATAATTAACCATGTTTTCAAGGACTACCAAATAAGACGCAATGCTATGGAAAGTGAACAAGACTAAGGTCAAAGTTATAGGAATAGGGGATGTTATGCTAAATTTTGAGGTGAGCAAAAAGCAAGTAAAAGCAATTCTTTCACTGAAAAGAGACAATAAATAAAAGAAGAAAGTGGTAGCAGCTAGAGGGAGGCTTGGAGTAGGAGAAGACAACTAAAATGATTATCAGTTTTCTAGTTTGGAAGAAGACTAGCTAGATGGCAGTGCCATTACTGAGATTAGGGTGTAGAGCACAGTACTGGGAGGATTGAACAATCAACATCAACAAGGCATTCACACAAAGGTCCATTGGATAGTGCATGTGGCATACCTTTTCTCTTGGCATCCAGAGTTTGGCTGATCCATAGAGACTAAGAATTTCCCCAAGATCCTTGGCTATTTGGAGAGGGACTGGTCTTAAGGAGAAGCTTCTAAGACTTGCTGCTAATATAAGTTAAATTAGTGCTCTAGAAATTAATGAAAATGAAGCATATATTACTTTAAAAATAAGTTGGTGGAGCAAAAATATTAAGTTGGTGGGACAAGAACAGGCAGGGAAAATACAAATTAATTCTATTTTGATCATATTGAGTTTTGAGTGTCTACTGAAAATCCAGGATATGGAAAGGCTGTCAAGCAAGGACACATAGAGCAGGGCAGGGCTTCATAGGTTCATTCATGAACAAATCGTATTAAGTACCTCTAGCATATAACAGGCATTGGCCTCAGTACTAGAGATAAATATATTTAAGAAATCTTCCTGCAGTGGAGAACTGGGAATGAAGAGATCTTCATTCTCAGTAGGTAGGTTGAAGTAGCTCTTGGGACAGGACTCTACTGAAAGCATTGCTCCTGTTTTCTACATCTCAGCCATTTGCCTTATTTCTCCTTACTTTAATGTAACTTGTCCCTTTGATGACCATTTCTCTTTCTCTCTTTTATTTTTTTCTACTTCCAGATGTCAGATAAGGTTGACTGGTTACAAAGCCAAAATGGAGTATGCAAAGTTGATGTCTATTCACCTGGAGACAGCCAACCCCAGGACTGGAAAATGGTAAGCATCCATCTCTTTATAAATACTCATTTAGGAATAAGTGGAGTACCATTAAGAGTAGGCTTATGCTCTTCACCACCACTGCCTACCTCTTATTTTTGAAGGTGAAATTCTTGGGCAAAAACACAAACTCCTCTAGACCAAAAAATTCCTATTCATATTGTTTTGGAGGCAAAATTCTATAATATGATAATTTCATAGAAGAAATATAATTAATGCAAAACCTATATATTACAGCTGTAAATTTTTTAAAATTTTCAAACACAAAAGGGATTGGATTTCAAATAGAAATGTTACAAAGTTCATAGAAACTATTTTTTAAAATGTAAGGTGCCTCAAAATTCTCAGAACTATAAGCTCTCATCTAAGTAACATTATCATTCTGCCTTCATCATTCAACAAACATTTATTAAGTGCTTAGTATCAGGCACTGTAAGTCAGGGTCCAGTCAGAAGATGGAGACCATAGCACACAATTTGATATTAAAAATTTTAGTGAAAGATAGTTAACAAGTTAACTACTAAACACTGTAAGACCCTGAGAGTTTCAGAAGTAGCAAATATAGAGAGCAGCTACTACCCCTAGGTTGCAAGAGAGTGAGCAGGAAGAGACTAAGAACTCACAGTAGTTACCTCTCCTTCAGCCAAGGTGGCTTCAGATTTCTTTGGAGAGAGTATGGCTTGCCACAGGAGACTAGCCTGCTGGAGCAGAAGATGCTTGCCAGAGGGTGCAAGTGCACCAGAAGTGCGGCATCTCTCCAGTGCCCTCTACTAACAAAGCCAGCTGCCAAAGAAGAAATGTTTAGAGGGGTCCAGTTCCAATGTCACAGAGCAAGGCAAAGAAAGGTGGACTTGGAGTTGAGAGACAGTCATGGATGACTGGCGTAGACTCTGTGCTGAGTCCTAGAGTCAGAGATGTAAAAACAAATTAGTCAGAATTCTTTTTTTTAGGATCTTATTATCTAGTGAAATCACTATGGTAATTCCCATCCTTACTATTATTATTTATCAAACACCTATTTGCATACAATGTTCTATTTATACCCATCTTCTATTTTCCAAAATCTATTTGATCTGTCTTATGTAGCCTAAGAGAGATAATACTATCAAATCTACATAAGACATTAAGATGTATAGATAATATCCAATTATCCAACCAAAACAGCTGCTATTAGATCTTTTGTTTACCTCTGCTCTTTCATGTAGAAAAATAAAAGATAGATGAATTTCAATACTAAATCAAATTTAAAAAGTCATGATTTTTCATTAAGGGAGGAGCACTCTGGGGAATAAAAAAAAAAGAAAAAGAAACAATTACTGCCCTCATAGACCTTACAATTAATTTGGGAAAATAAAAAATATAAATATAATCTAAAAATTAGCCTAATTATAAGAAGTTCATGATAATTTGCCAAGTGGGTTTTCTGGCAATAATTAGATTAGGTGTTTAAAGCACAGATCAAAGTGGGAAGTGGTCAGGGAAAATTTCATAAAGTGTATTTAACAGAGCTAGAGGTGAAGAATAGGATGGTAGGTATATGTGTTGACTTCAAACTAAGGTACTGGAGCAGAAGATGGCTGAGGAGAGAAAATTAAACTTTTTTTATATTCTCCTTCATGGATGTGAAAATTTTCCCTGGCCTTAATTAAGAAAGATTCAGAAATCATTTGGCATCCACCTTCTCCAGCTGCCTTTGATACTACTATATAAGAAGAGAGTTAAAGTTTGCAAGAAGGGAATGGGGTTTGGAAGAAATGGGATGTTTGTAGACTGCACTGATAGAAAAGCACATGTGGTTAGCCTTTCATTAACCACTTTTGCAAAATCCTCCTGGGTCAAGTGGAATAATGGACATAAGGTGCATACTTTTTAGATTTAAAAAATGTAAACGGGCAATAAAAACCTAAAAACACAGAAGACTAACACAGTTCTTTATACTCCATCATAAAACTGTGTGCTATGCTATATGTTTTTAATGCTCTGGGAAAAGAATCAAAAAAGATAAAAGAATAAGCCCCACATCTGCATTATGAGAAGACTTTCATATACATGTTATAGCCCAATTACAGAAACATACCTATTTGCAGAATATTTTTATAGAAACTGTAGGTGAAACCTGGTAGAAAGAATTTCTTAGTCTCATCTTCCTAGCTATGCCTATCTTTAAATAAGTGGGTAATATTAAGGGATAATTTTCAAAAAAAGTATAAAATCCAGACTCTCAATCAGATATGAAAATGAACACATGTTAAAGATTTTATTTAACTCATTAATGAGGAGACTGGTGAGGTGTTACAACCAGTTCAAAGAAGAATTTAAAAAGAGATGTATTACAGATCAGGAATATTAAAATGAATGTACAAGTAGAGGCAAAACTAGCCTCTTCTACAGTGGGGAAGGGAAGGGAGCTGAACCCCTACTAGACAGAATTTACATGTCTACAGATATGAAGAATTATTTCTGCATTGTTGTCAATTATCTACAGCTAACAGTTGTAAAATACTTCCCATAGATTCAGAATCTGATTATGTGGGAGGCTGTAAACAATGTTTAGTCTATAAATTGTAGACTATAGACAATGTATTATTTTCTATTGGAGCATGATTTTTTTTTCCCTACAGTTACCTCCATTTCAATAAATCTCAAAATAAGGTGATTTTGATAACAAAATCAGGCTAATATCTTCAGACTTAGTCAGTTATTTATATAGATAAACCAGATAGGCCATAGCAACCAGATAGGCCTTAAGTTTGCTTTACTGGAAGTTTTCATAAAGAAGCTCTGGTTGAACTTTTTTTTAAAGGCCTCCATTATTTGCTATCCTGAGACTAGGAAGATGAGACTAAGAAATTCTTTCTACCAGGTTTCACCTACAGTTTCTATAAAAACAAGAATGTATACCACTGGGATTCCCTGAAACCATTGTTCCTAAATACAGTTAAGTTATACTAATAAAAACTTTTAGGCAAAGTACTTTTCATTTTTCTATGTCATTAAAAAAATGTGGGGAAGGCAAAGTATATAATTAAAAAAAGAGAGAGAGAAAGTAAGATACAATTGTGAACTGTTATACACCAGCTAAAGTGCAGACTGGCAGACAACTTTCTATAGCCATATACATCCCTTCATAACCAAGTGGCAGAAATGGACATATTTATTAACAGACCAAAAGATATAGCCTATCACAATAAAAAAATAATAAGCAAAAAACCCCATAAGAATCAAAAGCATATAACCTATTTTTAATCATCAGTGTTTCAATATTCTATCTTACTTAGAAATTATCAAAATATCCAATGAATATCCATTAAATAGCAGTGTTTTAAGTTACATAAAGATGCTGTAAATTTGCCATCAAGCCAACAATACGATAAAATATAATAACTTGAAATAAAGTTTTTTAGAATAATATCCAAGTTGAATAAACACAAATATATATTTTTCATGATCTTAAACATAAAGTAGAAATAATATTAGCTTGCTGGATTTGTATAACCTGTATAAGTTTATGAAGAGCATATCAAAGTAAAAAGTGCATACTTGCATTATACTTCATACTGATAAATCATTAAAGGACAGCTGTTTTTATTAAATCAAAATTATTAAACTTACCTTGCTTGCCAAAGGTTATCCTAACTTATGTGACCTTAAGCTCCTAAAATTTTTCTGGATTAGGTTCTTTAAGAGTACTTTACCATGGGATCCCTGGGTGGCGCAGCAGTTTAGTGCCTGCCTTTGGCCCAGGGCGTGATCCTGGAGACCTGGGATCGAATCCCACGTCGGGCTCCCAGTGCATGGAGCCTGCTTCTCCCTCTGCCTATTTCTCTGCCTCTCTCTCTCTCCCTCTCTCTCTCTCTCTCTCTCTGTGTGTGTGTGTGACTATCATAAATAAATAAAAAATTTTTTAAAAAAGAGTACTTTACCAGTCAGAAAAAGATCCTTTATTTAAGGGACTTTATAATCTAATTTGGTATCATATGGAAGTAGGAAGATATTATTGCTTACATTTAATGTTTTTCTGAATGACAAATACTGATAGCTTATAGCCTCAATTCTAAACTTTCAGCCATTAGATTCAAATGTCCAGTTTTCAACAACAATCACAAAGAAACAGGAAAAGTGTGACTCACTCAAAGGAAAAAGTAGGCCAACTGAAATTGTGTCTGAAAAAGACCTGATGATGGCAGATCCACTAGACATAGACTACAAAACAACTGTCTTGGGATTTCTGGGTGGCTTAGTCAGTTAAGTGTCTGCCTTCAGCTCAGGTCATGGACCCAGGTTCTGAAATTGAGCTCTGTGTCAGACTCCTGGCTTCTCCCTCTCCCTCTGCCCCTCCTCCCCCATTAATGCTTTCTCTTGCACACTCTCTCTCTCTCTCTCAAATAAATAAAGAAAAAACATATTAAAAAGCAAAATGAACAATTGTCTTAAAGATGTTCAAAGAAATAAAAGAAATATGGAGAAAGTAAAAAAAAGTGTATGAACAAAATAGATATATCAATAAAGAGGTAGAAAACCTAGAGTAACCTAAAAGAAATTCTGTAGATGAAAAGTATAATAACCGAAATGAAAATTTCACTGAAGGGATTTGGAGGCAGATTTGAGCAGGCAGAGGAAGGAATCAGCAAACTTGAAAATAGAACCATGGAAATTATCAACTCTAAGGAACACAGAACCAAAGGGGCCTGTGGGACACCATCAAGCAAACATACATTGTGGGAACCGCAGTAGGAGAAGAGAAAGAGAAAGGGCAGAGAGAATATTTGAAGAAATAATGGCTTAAAGCTTTGCAAATCCGATGAGAGACATGAATATAAATATCCAAGAAGTTCAACAAACTCCAACAAAGATGAACTCAAAGATACCCATGCTGAGACACATTATAATCAAACTTTCAAAAAACAAGGATGAATGGAATATTAGTAGAAGTTTTTGATACTTCCGTGTCTGAACCACAAAAGTCTCCCATTCAGTTCTCAGTGATCTTGATTGTTCCTTATACACTTGAAGAATAGGTTTTGAGGCCCTAGGGGAGAGTAAAACCATGCAAAAGCAGAGCCTAGGTCCCTGAGTCACTGCAAAGAAAGCTTTTTATTGAATGTCCTCTCTAAACAAAGTGATTGAGAAATACTCCTGTTTCCTTATACCACTAGTACTTCAGGGGTTATCTGACTTAAAACTAGCATTATCCCAAATAATATATTTTGCTTGTGTCATCTTGCTGCCAGAAATGCCCACTTTGTTATATCTATGAAATGTTTAGAACTCCATCTCAAATGCCACTGCTTTTTCTAGTTATCCACCCAAAGCTATATGTCCCTTTTGTAACATTAAACATATCTTTTTATTATTTTATAGCACCAATCACATAGTATTTAGTAATGTCTGTGTTCATATTTCATCTCTACAGTAGACTTTATGTTTCTAGAAGGCAAAGATCATATTTCTTTCATCTTTATATGCCCCACAATATCTAATAGAGTGTATTGTACACAGGTACTATATACATATTGAATTATGCAGGTGGTTTGTGTTACACATTACCTCCCCTAAATCCCTAAATCACTTCTTCAGTAGAGGACCATCAAGTTGGTCCTCCTGGTGGATAGTTTGTATATTTGAACCTGATTTTCCATTTCTTGAATGCAGTCTCTGCTCTGACCTGACCACCTTTTCTCTGTCTCTTTCTCAGACATGCTTATAGGCAGCTTTCTTTCCTAAAACTTCTTCTGAAGGCTAAATTATGTCCATATAGAATTTCCCATTTGTTACTGATCTTTGGTTCAGAAAAACAATTTTTTAAAAAATTCATCACAGGAATTCAAAAAGTAGTTTCCCCACAACTCCCACCTGGTCTGATAGGAATGAATCACAGTACACATCCCTAGCCATACTGTCTTCCAGCATTTCTCTTTTCCAGAGCACCACTCTCCCATGCATATGGGAAGTCAAGTTTTATTCCTAATACTCTGACAGATGGTTAAGTGTGTTTCACTGCATTACTCTAAAAATCAAGCTTATTGACTTTTCTTACTCTTCTCTTACCTCTTCTGAAATTTAACCTTAATTTGAAATGTTTGAGTAGTATTATCTTATATACACACTCTAAGAGTACAAATTTTTGTGCATATTATCTCATTTAATACTAATTGCAACTACATGATGAAATTATTCAAACAAATAATAATTACTATATGATCCAGGAAGTCCACTTCAAGTGTATATCTGAAGGAAACAAAAATCACTATTTCAAAGAGATATCTATTCCCTATGTTTATTGCAGCATTATTCACAATAGCCAAGACATAAAAGCAACATAAGTGTCCATTCATGGATGTATGAATAAAAAAAATGTGGTGTATATACACAATAGAATATTATCCAGCCATAAATAGAAGGAAGTCTTGCCATTTGCAATAGCATAGATGGATCTAGAGGGTGTTAAGCTAAGTGAAATAAGTCAGTCAGAGAAAGACAAATACCATAAGATCCCACTTACATGTGGAAACTTAAAAAATAAAACTCACAGATACAGAGAACAGATGGGTGGTGTGAGAGTGAGCAAAATGGGTGAAGAGAGTCAAAAGGTATAAACTTGCAGCTATAAAATAATTAAGTCCTGGGGATTTAATGTACAGCATACTGACCATAGTTAATTATACTGTATTGTATATCGGATGTTGCAAAGAAAGTAGATCTTAAGCATTCTTATCACAAGAAAATTAATTTTGAACTATGTGTGGTGAAGGATGTTAACTACACTTATTGTGATCATTTTGCAATATACACAAATATTGAGTCACTATATTGCCCATTTGAAACTAATATAATTTTGTCAATTAAATCTCAATAAAAAATAATAAACTTTCAGCATGCATCAAAAGTAATCACAGAAACACAAGACTCCCCTGTCCAGAAATCAAAGAGCTCTTCTTCCAAGTGGACACAAAATTCTTAATTACTTTGAGATTGAGATGGGCAAAAAATACTAGCAAAACAAACTTTCCATTGTTTTACCCAACAGAGAATAGATCTCTATAAACAATTAGTCCATTAAAGAGATCCCTGCCACCAATGACTATTAGCCCTAAAGGAACAAAACTGAAAAGCCAATGCAAAATTAATACAGAGGAAAATTAAAACTAGAAAAAAAACAGAATATCTGCAAAGTTCTATTGCCACCTTAGATTCACTTCTGAGGTCAAAGAAAAAGAATGCATGCACCTAGTACACTTCCCTCAGGTAAACTCTGTTAGGTGAATCTATTGGACATCTTGGCAAAGACTTCAAAAACTGTTAAAAGATCATTTTTAGAGAAGGATGAAATAATGACTTTCATACATGTATAAAAATAAACTCATGGTGGGGCTCAGACTGGGTGCCTCAGTCCTTTAAGTGTCAGACTCTTGATCTCAGATCTTGATCTCATGGTCATTAGCTCAAGACTCGTGTTGGGCTCCATGCTGGATGTGGAGCCTGCTTTTAATTAATTAATTAATTAACTAACTAATTAATTAATTAAAATAACGTGGTAAAGATTTTAATCATTAACAAGGAACTGGTGAGGTTCAAAGGAGAATTAAAGAAAAAAACCACATATTATAGATCAGGAATATTGAAGTGAATGTGCAAATGGAGGCAAAACACAGTGGAACCTTCTCTGGTCAGAATTAACATGTATAAACAAGAATTATACTGCAATTGCTATCCATTATCTAAAAGATTGTAACATAGCTTCAAGAGAATCAGAATCAGAAAATGTGGAAGGCTGTGCTATAGCTTATGCATAGTTTTCCACTGAAGTATGAAATTTCCCTAAAGTAGCTATTATTCAAATTAGGAGAACCATTTAAAAGGACTTTGCCCCAAACACCATGGCCCACAGACAGGTTAAACCAGGCCCATAGCAGACTGGCGAAACTTTTCTCTGCTTTCCAAGTCATCAAAACATAGCAGTGTACTGCAGGTATGGAGAGCCAATTCTAGAGTCAGAACTGGATTTGAATACTAAACTCCATCATGTGGAGGCTATGAGATATTAGCCAATTTATGTAACCTAAGCTACGGTTTGCTCACCTATGAAACCAAAACAATACCTCTCCTGCAGTCTGTATATGAGGAGCAAGTGAAATAATGTGTGTAAAGCACTCAGCACAGTGCCTGGCAAACACAAGTATTTAAGAAATAGTAACTAGTAACTTATGTGACACTTGGTAGTTAAAATACCAAATTATTCTTTAAAAATGGACAATACTTGTAGTCATTCCTAGATAGACATTACTCTAATAATCACAGTGCTCCTTTACATTTGATAGTAAATAGGACATTTTCACTTCTTATTTTGGTCTATGTTCAGATGAAAATTATAAATTGCAATGGGGGAATATATAAATATGTACATGTGCTTATCACAGATAGTGTCCATTAAAGGATCTATATTCGTTCAAAACTAATAATTGTCCACAGATATTAACTCATTAATTATAAATTAAATTGTTCAGTTAAGTGATATCAAATAGTTCATTGGAAACCATTTAACATATCGAGACTGTGCTTGTATAGCCCAGCAAAGTGATTAATTATGCACAATTGTCCTTGAATTCTCTAATTTTTTGAAAACTATAGTTGTACTAAGAGACCTAAATAAAAACAGGTAAGCCCTAGAAAATAGCAAGTAATACAAATATAAGAAAATTTTGATTCAGTTTAAATGCTAATTCTGCTACATAGCTGTAAATATCAGATCTTAAGGATGTATGTTGTTAAAAGCAGTACTGTAGTGTCTGAGAGCATAGGCTCTAGAGTCAGACTACATGCATTGGAACTCCTGCTCCATCAGTGATTATCTGTATAACTTCAGATCAGTAACTAACTTGATTTTTCCTTTCTTCAGTTCCCTCCTCTGTAAAATGCATATAATAAGAGAGCCAACATTTAAGTTTACTGCAAGAATAATGTTAAGTGAGGGGATGCCTGAGTGGCTCAGTAGGTTAAACGTCTGCCTTGGCTCAGGTCATGATCTCAGGGTCCTGGGATGAAGCCCTGCTCAGCAGGGATTCTGCTTCTCCTTCTCTCTTTACCCCTCCCCCTCACTCATGTACCTTCTCTCTCACTTTAATAAATAAAATCATTTAAAAAATACTAAAAAAGAATACTAATAAGTGAGATAATAGTCTTAAAATACTTGGAATAGTGCCTGATACATACTAAGCACTCAATACATGTTGGTTACTTTTATTGTAATGATACAGCAGTTAAGGCTGGAGAGAGGTGACCATTTTTGTAACTAGTCTTTGAGTTTGTCCTGAATGTCCCATATCTTTACTTTGTTATAGTCGGATGAATCCTTGTCTATTTTTAAGGAAGCTTCAACTGATCCTATCAGAGTGCTCAGCTGGCTCCGCAGAGACCTGGAAAAAAGTACAGCAGGGTTTCAAAATGTTAGATTCAAGCCTGGAGAATCCTCATTTAATGGGGAAATGAGCAACTTAGGAGATCCCCGCAAGGGTTTCTCTGTGGACTATTATAATTCCACCACCAAGGGCAGTCCAGGAAGATTGCATTTTGAGATGAGTCACAGAGAGAACCCTGTCCAGGGTCCCAGTGTCCAACTTGGTAATGGAAGTTCAGTAGATGAAGTTTCCTTCTATGCTAACCGCCTCACAAATCTAGTCATAGCCATGGCCCGCAAGGAAATCAATGAGAGGATAGATGGCTCTGAAAACAGATGTATCCATCAGTCATTGTACATGGGAGATGAACCCACACCCAACAAAAGCCTGAGTAAGGTGGCATCAGAGCTGGTGAATGAGACTGTCTCTGCATGTTCCAAGAATACTACCTCAGATAAGGCTCCAGGCTCTGGTGACAGAGCCTCAGGATTTTTACAAAGTCCTCCAAATTTGAAATATAAGACCACTCTGAAGATCAAGGAGAGCACCAAGGAAAGCAAGGGTCCAGATGACAAGCCTCCTTCTAAGAAGTCTTTCTTCTATAAGGAGGTGTTTGAATCTCGTAATGCAGGTGATGCCAAAGAGGGTGGAAGGTCCTTACCTGGGGAGAGAAAGATGTTCAGAGGGCAGGAAAAGCCTGATGACTTTACAGCTTCTGTTAGTCAAGGGATCATGACCTATGCTAACAGTGTGGTATCTGATATGATGGTTTCCATCATGAAGACACTGAGGATCCAAGTGAAGGACACAACAATTGCCACCATTCTGCTAAAGAAGGTACTGCTGAAGCATGCAAAAGAAGTTGTCTCAGATCTCATTGACTCCTTCATGAAGAACCTCCACAACGTCACAGGGACCCTCATGACTGATTCAGACTTTGTCTCAGCTGTAAAAAGAAGTCTGTTCTCTCATGGAAGCCAGAAGGCTACAGATATCATGGATGCCATGCTGGGTAAGCTATACACTGTAATGTTTGCAAAGAAACCTCCTGAAAATCTGAGGAAAACCAAGGACAAGTCTGAGAGTTACTCCCTTGTCTCCATGAAAGGGATGTGTGACCCTAAAAACCAAAATACAAACTTTGCAAGCATGAAATCTGAAGGTAAATTGAGGGAAAAAATGTACTCTCCTGCATCCAAACCAGAGAAAGAGAAGACTTGTGCTGAAACTCTGGGTGAACACATTATCAAGGAGGGATTGACCTTTTGGCATAAAAATCAACAAAAAGAAGGAAAATCTCCAGGTTTCCAAAGGGCAACATTTGCAGCTCCCAACAAACAGTACAAGCCTGTACCAGACATCCCTCTGGGATATCCTCTGGATACTTGCAACCTCAGTCCCCCTATGCATCACCGAGAGAAACCTGAGAATTTTATATGTGATTCAGACTCCTGGGCCAAGGATCTGATCGTATCTGCCTTACTTCTGATTCAATACCACCTGGCCCAGGGAGGAAGCATGGATGCACAGAGTTTCCTTGAAGCTGCTGGCAGCACCAACTTGCCTGCCAACAAGTCCCCTGTAGTTTCTGATGAGTCCAGCCTTAAATCTCCTCAAATGGGAGGTGACCAAGAAGAAGCAGAAAAGAAGGATCTAATGAGTGTTTTCTTTAATTTTATCCGGAATTTACTTGGTGAGACCATTTTCAAGAGTGACTGTAGCTCTGAACCCAAGGTACCAGAACAGCCAATTAAGGAAGAATATAGCCACCAGTGTGAAAGACCTATAACCCCTTCTCCCATCAAAGTAAGTGAAGGCGATGAGACTGGTGGTACCTTTGCTGGGCTGACCAAGATGGTTGCTAACCAGCTAGATGGCCACATGAATGGGCAAATGGTAGAACATCTAATGGACTCAGTGATGAAGTTATGTCTTATTATTGCCAAGTCCTGTGACTCTCCCTTGGCAGAGCTAGGAGATGATAAGTCTGGAGATGCGAGCAGGCCAACTTCAGCCTTCCCAGATAGTTTATATGAGTGTTTACCAGTCAAGGGCACAGGGACAGCAGAAACGCTCCTGCAGAATGCCTATCAATCTATCCATAATGAACTGAGAGGTATATCAGGACAGCCCCCTGAAGGATGTACAGCACCCAAAGTGATCGTCAGCAATCATAGCCTAAGTGATACAGTTCAGAACAAGCAACTGCAAGCGGTACTTCAGTGGGTAGCTGCATCTGAACTAAATGTCCCTATTTTGTACTTTGCTGGTGACGACGAAGGAATCCAGGAGAAGGTAAGGAAGTAGAGTCAGAGGAATTTGGAAAGATTTGTTAATGGTTAAGTAGGGTTTTAAGTTCTGTTTTCTTTCTGAATGGGAAGATAGCTACAAGTGTAGGCTGGGGAAGGGAGAATTTGAAGATGCACCTTGGCAGAGATAATGGATAAAGTAAAATTGGATTTTGCCCAATAAAAGGCATATCAAAAAAGAAAAGGGATACTATATATATATATATATATATATATATATATATATATATATATATATCACCTGCTGGGAGGCATCCTGGAAATGTATTGAGGAGGCAGGAGGTTAGGGTAAAGGATCTAGGTTTATACCCTTTCAAATTTGTCATTACTCTCTCAGCTCATTGTCTAGGAAGTGTTGGGGATTTGAGAGATTCAATAATAACATCCCTCTTCCCCTTACTCTAAGTTCTGAATCAACTGAGAAGTAAGACTAAAGAATAAGGCAGATGAGAAATCAACCTATCACTATTATTACTGAAAACGGTAAGTGTGTGCCTTCTAACTCCTTGCTCTTCCCAGTGTAGGCCTTGGAACTGCTTACTGAAGAGAATTGTGCATGTGTCTGGTAAAAGTGGCATATAACTGTACAGGCAGACCTCAAAGGCATTGTGGGTTCTGTTCTAGACCACTGCAATAAAGCAAAGTCAAATGAATTTTTTTTGGTTTCCCAGTATACTGTACTATAGTCTACTAAGTGTGCAAAAGCATTATTTCAAAGAAAAGGGCATACTTAAATTTAAAAAATGCTTTATTGTGATGAGTACTGGGTGCTATATGTTGGCAAACTGAATTTAAATTTAAAAAATAAAAGATGCAAAAGATTAAAAAAATTAAAAATGCTTTTTTGCTAGAAATGCTAACCATCATTTGAGCTATTAGCAAGTATATCACTAGTCAAGATCACTACAACAAATATAATAAGGATGGAAATGTTTGAAATATTTCTAGAATTAACAAAATATGACATACAGAGTGAACAAATGCTGTCAGAAAAATGGCACCAATAGATTTGCTTGGTGCAGGGTTTCACTTTGTAAAAAACGGAGTATCTGCAAAGCACAATAGAGAAAAAACATAATGAAACAAGTATATGAGTTTCAGGTGTACATTATAATTTGATATCTGTACATACTACAAAGTGATCATCACCATAGGTATAGTTACCATCCCTCACCCCACAATTCAGCTCTTTGACCCATTTCACCCACCCCTAACCCAGTTTCCTTCTGGTAAACACCCGTCTGTTCTCTGTATTTGAGTTTGTTTTGTTTTGTTTTTAAGAGTCCACATATAGATGAAATCATACAGTATTTGTCTTTCTCTGTCTGACTCATTTCACTTAGCATAACTTGTCCACCTTCAAGTTGTCAAAATTTTCTCCTTTTTATGGCTGAGTAGTATTCCATTACACACACACACACACACACACACAGCCCATACTTTCTTTATCCATTTATCCATTAAAGGACCCTCGGATTTTTTCCACATCTTTACTACTGTAGGAAATGCTGCAGTGAACATAGAGGTACATATAGCTTTTCAAATTTGTGGTTTTGTATTTTATAGATAAATACCCAGAAGTGGAATTGCTGGATCATATGGTAGTTCTACTTTTACTTTTTTAAAGCATCTCCATACTGTTTGCCTCAGTGGCTGTACCAATTTACATTTCCACCAATAGTGTATGAGGACTTCTTTCTCTCCACATCTTCTCTCTCCACGTCTTCTCCAACACTTGTTATTCCTTGCCTTTTTTATAATAGTCATTCTGACAAGTGTAAGGTGATATTTTATTGTGGTTTTGATTTGCCTTTTCCTGATAATTAGTAATATTGAACATCTTCCCAACATCTTTTCATGTCCCTGTTGACAATCTGTCTTCTTTCAAAAACTGTCTATTCAGATCTTCTGTCCATTTTTTGTTAGAGTGTTTTAAAAATGTATTATTATCGAACATAGTCAACATACAATGTATTAGTTTTGGGTGTACAAGGTAGTAATTTTACAATTCTCAGTGCTCACCATAATAAGTGTAGTCAGCACCTTTCACCATATGAGGTTATTACAATGTATTGACCATACTCTCTATGCTGGACTTTTCATCTCCATGACTTTATAACTAGAACTTTGTACCTTTTATTCTCTTTGACCAATTTTGCCCATCTTCCAGCCTCCTTCCTTCTGGCAACCCCCAGTTTGTTCTCTGTATTTAAGAGTCTTTTTGTTTGTTGTTTATTTATTCATTTGTTTTGTATTTTTAGATTCCACATATAAGTGAAAACATGTAACATTTGTCTTTCTCTGACTTATCTTTTAATTGAGTTGCTTGGTTTTTTGTTGTTGTATGAATTCTTCATATATTTTGGATATTAACCTCTTATCAGATGTGTAATCTGTAAATATCTTCTCTCATTCAGTAGGCTGCCTTTTCATTTTGTTGACAGTTACCATTGCTTTGCAGAGGCTTTTTTGTTTGATGTAGTCCTATAAACAAAAATAAACAATTCTTACTTTGGTTTCCCTTGTCTTTGGAGCCAGGCTCAAAAATATTTAATCCATTTTGAGTTAATTTTTTATATAGTGTAAGATAGTGATCTAAGTTCATACTTTTGCATATTGCTATGCAGTTTCTTCAGCACCATTTATTGAATAAAACTGTCATTTCCCTATTGCACATTCCAAGCTTCTTTTTTGCAAATTAATTAACTATGTATGCTATGTATGTGTGGGTTTATTTCTGATCGATGTATTCTGTTCCATTGATGTTTGTGTCTGTTTTTTGTGACAATATCATACTTTTTTTGATAAGTATACCTTTGTAGTACAGTTTAAAATCAGGGAGCATGATACAAACAGCTTTGTTTTTTCTTTCTCAAGACTGCTTTGGCTATTTGTGGCTCCATACAAATTTTAGAATTATGTGTTCTAGTTCTGTGAAAAGTGCCACTGGGATTTTGATATGAATTGCACTGAATCTGTAGATTGTTTTGGGTAGTATGGACATTTTGACAATGTTAGTGCTTCCAATGCATGAGCATTTTATTTATTTACATTTACATTTATTTGTGTTATCTTCAATTTCTTTTATCAGTGTCTTGTAATTTTCATCTCACAGTTCTTTCACTTTCTTGGTTAAATTTATTTCTAGATATTTTATTCTTGATACAATTGTAAATGGGATTGTTTTAACTTCCCTTTTAAAAAATAATTTGTTATTATTGTATAAAAACAAAACAGATTTCTGTTTATAGATTTCTTTCCTGTAATTTTACTAAACTCATATATTAATTCTAACAGTTTTTTGGTGGAGTCATTAGGGTTTTATATATATATATATGTGTGTGTGTGTGTGTGTATATACACACATACCATATCATCTGTAATTAGAGACAATTTTACTTCTTCCTCCTTTCTGATTAGGGTGCCCTTCATTTTTTTTTTCTTGCCTAATTTCTGTGGTTAGGACTTCCAATAATATGTTGAATAAAAGTGCAAGAGTAGGCTTCCTTATCTTGTTCCTGATCTTACAGGAAAAGCTTTCAGCTATTCAGCACTGAGTATGGTATTAGCTGTGGTTTTGTCATAGATAGCTTTCATTATATTGGAGTAGGTTCCTCCTGTACCCACTTTGTTGAGTGTTTTTGTCATAAATGGATATTAAATTTTGTCACAAGCTTTTTTCTGCATCTATTGAGATGATCATATAACTTTTAACCTTAAATTTGTTAATGTGGTATATCATATTGATTGATTTGCAAATGTTGAGCGATCCTAGCATCCTAGGAATAAATCCCACTTGAGCATGGTATATGATTCTTTTATTATATTGTTGAATTTGGTTTGCTAATATTTTGTTGAGGATTTTGCATCTGTGTTTATTTGGGATATTGGCTTGTGATTTTAGTTTTTTCTGGTGTCCTTGTCTGGTTATGTTATCAGGATAATGCTGGCTATGTTAAGTTGAGTTTGGACGTGTTCTCTCCTCTTCAATTTTTTGGAAGAATTTGAGAAAGATAGGTAATAAATCTTCCTTAAATGTCTGGTAGAGTTCACCAGTGAAGCCTTCTGGCACTAGACATGTTTTGGGGGAGGTTTTTATTTATTTTTATTTTTTAAAAAAAGATTTCATTTATTTATGAGAGACAGAGAGAGAGAGAAAGAGAGAGAGAGAGAGACAGGCAGAGGGAGAAGCAGGCTCCATGCAGGGAGCCATATGTGGAACTCCATCCTGGGACTCCTGGGCCTAAGGCGGTGCTAAACCTCTGAGCCACCTGGGCTGCCTGGCTTTTAATTATTAACTCAATCTCCTTGCTAGTAATTGGCCTATTTAGAGTTTCTTAATGACTCAGTTTTGAAAGACTATATGTTTCTAGGAATTTATACATTTCTTCTAGGTTGTCCAATTTGTTGGCATGTGATTTTTCATAGTAGTCTCTTGTGATTCTTTGTGTATCTGTGGTATCAACTGTAACTTCTCTTTCGTTTCTGATTTTATTTGAGCTCTGTGTGTGTGTCCTTAGATGGAGTAAATCTCTTGCAAACAACAAAGAGATGAGTCTTGTTTTTCTTAACCATTTTGTTGATTATTTTCTATTTTTGTAGATCCTCTCTATTCCTTTCTTCTCTTGCTTCCTTCTCTCATGGGTTTAGCGATTTTCTTTAGTGTTATGTTTAGATTTCTTTCACATTACCTTACGTATCTGCTATAGATTTTTGCATTATAGTTGCCATGAGGTTTACATATAACATCCTATTTATACAAAAGCCTATTTTGAGTTGATAGCAAATTTGAGCACATTTTTAAGATTCTATATTTTTACTCCCCACCATATTCTATTTGTTTTTGATGTCCTATTTTACATCTTTTTATTTTGTATGTCCCTTAACTATTATAGTGACAGGTAATTTTGCTACTTTTGTCTTTTAACCTTTATATTAGCTTTATTGGTGGTTAATCTACCACTTTTACTTACATTTGCACTTTTC